TCCTCCTGTTCGTCCTCCTCCTGTTCATCCTCCTTCTCCTGTTCTTCCTCCTCCTCCTCCTCCTTCCCTTCCTCCTCCCCTTCTTACTCCTTTTCCTTCCTCCTCCTTCTCCTCGTCGGTATCCTCCTCCGCCTCCTCCTCCTCCTCTTCCTCCTTTTCTCATCCTCCTCCTTCTCCTCATTCTGTTCTTCCTCCTCCTCTTTCTCCTGTTCTTCCTCATCCTCCCGTTCTTCCTCCTGCTCCTTCCTCCTCCTCCTCCTCCTCCTCGTCCTCTGTTTTCCTCTCCTCCTGCTCCTGTTCCTCCTGTTCCTTCTCCTCCTCCTCCTCCTCCTCCTCCTTCTCCCCCTCCCCTCCCCACTCTCTTCTCCTGCTGCTGCTGCTCCTCCTCCTCCTCCTCCTCCTCTTCCTCCTCCTCCTCCTTCTCCCCCTCCTTCCCTGGTCGTCGTCTTCGCCGTCGTCCTCCTCATGCGGAGGAGTGAGGAGGATTACCAGGAATATGCTTGTGAACGTTCGGGGGGGGCGTGTCCATACGTATCCCTTGTGAGTGTTCGGAGAGCTCTCCTGGATTACATTGGATCGCGATGATGCTGCAAGTTCTTGCGCAACTCGGACTTTCACGCGCTTCCCGTTCATGTCAGGAAAGATTGTTGTTTGTTTCTGCAAAGGTTCCAGTCTGAACGGGCGACTCGTCCAGGAGTTCTTTCTGAGAGTGTCCCGGAAATGTTGGCCATTGGGGGCATTGTCCGCAGTGCTCAAGATTATCCTGGGGCGGCCCCAAACGTCCCCATTACCCGAAGGCATCAGCACGAAACACGAAGCAGGCAACAATAGCGTCAGCGCACAGCAACCGCAAATAACAGCAGCAGCAGGTTGCGGTCAGCAGCACGCACCAAACAGACGTGGTCATCAGCAGCACCCTTCAGCCATAAGCGACAACGACACGCCAGTGGCGGCAAGCATGACCAACAACATGCAACAGCGGCAGCAAACAACGCCACGCAGAGGCATGCGCCGAATGCGAGGGTCGAGCCCCACGTTGTAATGACACCCCGAGAGGTCCCCACACGCTCTACCCCGCAAGTGGACGTAGTCCACGGGTCAGCCCTAGTATGTACTACAATGCCAGGCATTTGCGCCTGCGACAGGGGCGAGCGGTGGTCACCCGCGGCGGTGCCCCGGGGGCCCCGCCCGTGGGGTGACGCTGTCCCGGCCCGGGACAGCCCCGGGACGGCCCATGAGGGCCCCGACGGAGGCCTCGAGAGCCTCCCGGGAGCCCCCCAGCGAGCCCGCGAGGGCCCCAGGACGGGCTCGGAGGGCCCCCACGAGCTTCCACGGAGCTCCCAGGGGACCCCCACGAGGCTCCCGAGGCCGCAAAACGAATGATGTTCTCGAAGGTTTTTGACGTTTCCGGTGGTGCTCCTCCCGCCCGCCCCAAGACGCCCACCACGACACCACGGGCGTCCGAAATCGGGCCCATGCTGCCAGGGGGGCCTCCAAGAGAGTGCCCAAGACGGCGCCAGAGGCCCCCGATCGAGCTCCCGGGGCCCCCAAGACGGCCCAAGAACCCCCCCAGACGGCCCCAAGGTACGCCCAAGAGGGTCCAGTTCGGAGCGCTTCCCCCCCCCTCCAGGCCCTTCCACGGCCAGCAAGGCTCCAAGACGCCCCCGACAAGCCCCCAGAAGGCCCCGGAGGCGCTCCCAAGAAGCCCCCGGGCGCTCTCCAGAGACTCCTAGAAGGCTTCAGAGGCGCTCCCAAGAGCTTTCAAGAGGCTTCCAGAGGCTCTCCAGAGGCTCCCACAGAGCCCCACGAGGACCCCCTCCCAGGTATCGGAGGGCCCCCCCCGCCGCTTCCCCGACGCCTCCGCTGGGAACAGGCTGCTCCAGCACGCGGCACTGCTGGCACGACAAGCAGCAGGCTGGAGCTGCGGCTGCAGCTGTTGCTGCTGCCACTGCCGATAGTGCTGGATCTACTGCTGCTGCTGCTGCTGCTGCTGCTGCTGCTGCTGCTGCTGCTGCTGCTGCTGCTGCTGCTACCGCTACTAGCGCTGCTCCAGACGCCGTCTGGATCATCAAGCAAACAGTGCACCCTGAAGTAATGAGCAGCAGCGAGCGCACGCTCCATCCTCTGGCATTCCTGGACGGCAGTCCGCGGGTCAGCCCCAGTCAGCTACAACGCTGGGATCAGCTCGTGCGAGAAAGGTGAGCAGTGGCAGCGGGCCTTGGCGCTGCTCCGGGAGATGCGGGAAGCGAAACTGGAGCCCGACGTTATCGCTACTATCATGCCGGGGCCCAGCGCGTGCGAGAGAGTGCGCTGCCGCAGCTCGGCCCTGGGCGGCGCCCAGCTTTCCCCGCGCTCCTGGGGCGGTCCTGGACGGCCTTGGACGGCCGCCAGAAGGCTCCAACACGTCCAATGACGGCTCGCTCCAGAGAGCGCCTACACCTTATGCGATGCTTAAGAAAACCTACGTTTTCGTCCAGAGTCTCGATTATTCTTAATTTTTCAATGTAAATCCCAAGATTTTGATAGAAGTTCTGGATTACATTCAATTTCTGAGACTATGAATTTCTTAACCCATGATTTCTGAAACATTTCGCAGGGTGTAGAAGGCACCAGAGAACTTGAAGCGAGCCTCCAAATGGTCCAAGACGGCCCCAAGACACGCCAAGAGGCCCTCTGCGACAGCCCAGCTCCCCAGAGTGTCTCAGGGCGCCCGACGACGGTCCCAGAGAGCCCAAAGTGCCCTCCAAGAAGGCCCCGAGGGAGTCCCCACAGAGCCCTCAGAGCCCCACAGACGCCCCTGGACGGCCCCAAGGCGATTCTACGCTGAGCTTCCCGGGCTGCCCCCCAGAAGAGGCTCTGGTGGACGGCCCAGGCGAGGCCCCAGAGGCGCCCAAAATACCGCCAGAGGCCCTCGAGACGCTCCCGACAGGCTCGCAGGAGGATCTCGCATGGCCCCGAGAGGGTCCCAGAGATCCCCACCGCGTCCCTAGAGGGACCCCTAATTGCAGCGCCAGTCCAGCTCCCAGCCCCAGCGTGCGAGTCCCAGATTCAGTACACCGTGGATTTCATTGACGGGTCCACACCGGTCTCTTCTACACTGCAGCGGCCTTCGCGTGCCAGAAGGGTCTCTGTCTTGAAAGGGCGTGCCGACTTTAAAACGAGGGGGGGGGTCCAGACGCCCCCCAAAACGGCCCCAGACGGCCTCGGGGCGGCTCCGAGAGTCTCCAGGGGGCGCTAAGACGGCCTCAGAGCACCCTTGGGATCCCCAAGAGAGCCCTAGAGGCCCCCAAGGCAGGCCAGGAAGCTCCCGAGACGGCCTAGGAGGGCCTCCAGGAGAGCCCCAAGAGGCCCAAACCGTCCAACATTTTTTTCAGGAAGCGCACATTTTCACTATGTCTTGTTTTTTCGTCCTCGCAGCGTCCAAGACGGTTATAAGGCCCCCCAGCTCGCCCTAAGACGCGCTCAGAGGCCCCCAGGAGGGCCCCAAGACGGTCCCACACGGCGCCGGGACAGCTCCAGAGGCACCCGAGACGGCCCAAGACGCATCCAAGATAGGCCCAAGAGCAGCCACTAATGGCCCAGGGGACGGCTCCGAGAGGCTCCAAGGGGCGTCACGACGGTCTCAGAGCACCCCTGGGAGCCCCAAGACAGCTCCAGAGGCCAGCAAGGCGGGCCAGGAGGCTCCCAAGATGGCCCAGGAGGGCCTCCAGGACAGCCCCAAGAGGCCCAAATCGTTCATCCCCTCCAGGAAACGCACATTTTCACTATGTTCTGTTTCTCGTCGCCACACCGTGCAAGACGGCTGTACAGGCCCCCCAGCTCGCCCCAAGACGCGCTCAGAGGCTCCCAGGAGGGCCCCAAAGAGGCCTCACACGGCCCCGGGACGGCTCCCGAGGCGCCCGAGACGGCCAGCCCCAAAGCAGCCAATAATGGCCCAAGACAGCCGCAAGACGGCCCCGCCGCCCTGTCTCCAAGGCGGCTGTGCAGGCCCCCGCTGCCTCATCTCCAAGCCTTTCCGTTTGCACAGTCTCCAAGACGGCTGTACAGGCCCCCAGATCGCCCCAAGACGCCGCCAGACGCCCCCAGGAGGGCCCCCAAACGGCCCTCGACGGCTCCAGAGGCGCCTGAGACGGCCCAAGAAACACCCAAGAAAGCCCGAAGAGCGCCCAATATCGGCCCAAGATGGCCCCAAGACGACCCGAAGATGGCCCGAGAGGCGCCCAAGACGGCCCCACATCGCCCCACGACGGCCCATGAGGCACTCAAGACGACCCAAGAGGGCCCCAAGGGACTTCCAGGAGAACGAAAAGAGGCACCCAAACGGCCCCCAAGAGGCATTGGATGCTTCTCTTTTGGGGAGCGTCGAACTTCCAGAGCCATCTCTGGCCCTTTTGGGGACGTCTTGGGGCGGTGCGCTCGAAAGGTCGATTCGTGTCCTCGCACTGGGGCCCGTCTTAGGGAGTTCGTGGGGCCTTCTTGGGCCGTCTGGGAAGCCGCTTGGCCCGTCCTGGAGACCCTTTGGGGCGTCTCGCCGCCATCTTGCGGGCCTCTTAGGCCGTGCCCACTGGCCCCACACTACCAGATAGAATTATCATTCGCCCCCCCGCGAAAAGCAGATAACATGATCACGGCGACCCGCCCCGCAGAAGCTATGATGAGCACAGATTGCGGCGTGAGAAACAGCTTCTGTCCACACCATGTCATGCCGACATGGGTGTGCTTCCACTGTCACAGCCTCCACCACCGCGTTCCTGCCTTCAGGCCTGCTTGCCTGCATCCTCGCCCACCTCCCCCTCCAGCAGCCACCTCCATCCGCGCTGCCCCCTCCAACCTCCCATCACCCGCGAGGCCCCGGAGACGCTCCACTTCCACGTCCATGCCATGGCGGGCAGATTCCGCGGCCAGAAGGCTGCGAGTCAGCCCTAGTCAGCTGCAATGCTGGGATCAGCGCGTGCGAGAAGGGCGAGCAGTGGCAGCGGGCGTTGGAACTGTTTTCTGAGATGTGGGAGGCGAAATTTGAGCCCGACGTGATCTGTACTACAATTCTGGTCGTTGCGCGTGCGAAAGGGGCCAGAAGTGAGCGAGCTGCCCCCGAGCGCCCGCAAGCGCCTGGAGTGCCCCGCCGCTCTCGGACGGCTCCAGGGAGCCCCCAGGTGGCTCCAACACGGCCTCAGGCAGCCCCACTACCGCTCCGAGACGCCCGAGATGGCAGGAGGACGTCGCAAGAGAACCCGAACAGAGCCCCATGACAGCCCGAGACGACCCGACGACCGACCACATGCCTCCGAAGACGGCCCCACCGGACCCCGATGAGGGTCCCGCGAGTTGGGCGTGGCTTAATGGGGGGGTCACAAACGGGGGGGTCAGAAAAGGTCCCCTTGCGTGCCCCTTTCGGGCCCCTCCAGAGCCCCAGGGGGCGGGGCTCGTTTAGGTACCGTTTGGGTACCTTTTCGAACCACCCTCGCCACCCCCCCATTTATGACCCCCCCATTACGCAGCGCCCAAGCGAGAAGTATCGGTCATCGCGAGGTGTTCGAATGTTCCTGTCGGACCAAGAGCGGCCCCAGACGGCCCCCGGGCCATCCCGGAACGCCCCAAGACCGTCCAGGAGGCCTCGCCGGGTGCCCCAAAAGACGGCCCCAGCCCGCCCGAAGACTGCCCAGTGAGAAGCCTGCGAGCCTCGCCGGGTGCCCCAAAAGACGGCCCCAGCCCGCCCGAAGACTGCCCAGTGAGAAGCCTGCGACGGCCTCGTAGAGCACCCCCGGTGGCCCCTCAAAGCAGCAGGAGCCCTCTACTTAACGGGCACCACGGCGAGCTCCAAGACGGCCCGAGACCCCCAACATCGCCCCAGGATGCCGCGCGAGGCCCCCCGGGGCGGCCCAAGAGGGCCCAGGGACCCCGACGACGGCCCCACGAGGCGGAAAAGCACGCTGAAACCATTCATGTTCTAAAGTTTTCCTCCACGTTCTCCCCACGACGGGCCCAGAACGGCCCCACAGTTGCAGGTCTTTCCAAGATCACACCGGGACGGCCTTAGAGGGCCTCACGAGCCCACCAAGACGGCCAGCGAGGGCCCCGAGACGGGCCAGAACAGGCCCCGGCGAGCCTCACAGAGCTTCACGTTGCCCCCCGAGACGCCCCATGAGCTGACCAGGAGGCTCAAACAAGACTCCCAGACGGCCCCAGACCCCCTGTCATGGCCCGAAGGTGGCCCAAGGGGCCCCCAGTACGGCCCAAGAGGGCCCACGAGGATTCTAGAGACGGACCCAGGAGACCAGAATTCAAGCAAAAACGCTCTCGCCATGACGGGCTCAGAAGGGCCCCGCGCAGCTTCAGGAATGTGCGGGATCGCCCCACGATGGCCCAAAAGGCCTCAACGAGCATACCAAGACGGCCCAAGAGGGCTTCAAACCGGCCCAAGACAGGCTCCCGACGGCCTACCAGAGTTTCAGGTGGCCCCCAAGACTCACCAGGAGCTGCCCAGGAGGGCCCACACTGGGCTCCCAGACGGTTCCGTACGGCCCTCCAGGGGGGCACTCGACGGATGTTACGGCAGGGGGGTTCGTTGGGGGGTCAGTTTTAGCGTCGGGGGCTCTCTCCGTCCTCTCACGGGAGCTTTCTGAGGCCTGCTCCGGCTGTCCTGGATCTCTATGGGGATGTCCGCGGGCACGGACAGCCTTTTTCGGAGAGGCCCAAGAGCTCCCTTCGGGCCCCAACACCACGAGATCCTTCCCTGGACGGACAACTCCGACATGGCGCAGACCTCCCCAGGGTGTTCGAAAACAGCCTCCAGCCCCGGCTCCCCCAGACTGCAGCAAACCATGCAGCTAACCTCAAGGATGGCAGGGGGGACCTTTCAACAGCAATCTCCAGCACGCATGCACAGTAAGTTTCCCAGGCTCTCCCCGAGAAGAGGCTCTGGGGGACAGCCCGGGAACGGCTCCAGAGGCGCCCCCAAATTGCAAGAGGCCCTCAAGGCGCACCACACAGGTTCGCAGGAGGGCCCAACATGCCCCCGACACGGCCCCAGGGTAGCCCGAGCTGTTCAACTTCGACGAACTGTTCACCCATGGTGCGCGAGTCCCAGGATCAGCGCACCGTGGATTTCATCCACGGGTTCACACGAGTCCACGGGCAGGAGCACGTGCGTGCGGGAAGGGTCGGGAAGAGCCTGAGGGCTCTCGGCGCCCGGCGGCCCCAGGACGGCTCCGAGACGGTCAGGAGGCCGCCCCGACGGCCCAAAGACGGCTCGGAGCCGCTCAAGATGCTCCGAAGGCGGCCCAAGAGGGCCCCGAGACGCGCAATGATCCGGCCAAGACGCCTAAGATTGGCCCAAGACGGCCCAAGAGCTCCCCAAGACGGCCCAATAAGCCTCCCAAGAGGCCTCCCAAGAGAGCCCCGAGAGGCCAAAATCGTTGATTTGCATTGTTTTTTTTCCGACGTTTTTTGCTTCCTCGCTTTTTCGGCTTCCCGACGCTCCGAACCCCCCCAAGAGGCATCCAAGACCGCTCCAAGACGGTCGAAGAGACGGTCCAAGAGGGCCCCAAGACGGTCCAAGGCGGCCCAGGACGGCCCCAGAGGCGCCCAAGACAGGCCAACGGGACCCCAAGATGGCCCAAAGAGCGGCCCAAGACGGCTCCAAGACGGCCCGAGGACCGCCCAAGAAGGCCCTAGGGGGCCCCAAGACAGCCCAAGGGGCGCGATAGACGGGCCCAGAGAGGCCCAAGAGGCCCCCAGGAGCCCAAAAGAGGTCCCCAAGAGGTCCCACGGGGCTTCAAAACTGCCTCGAAGCGAGGGTGGCGGACGAGGGGACCACCCAGGAGAACCGCCAAACTCGCCCCCAACCGCCCAGGACAACCGCGAGCGAAAGTTCGCCGAATATTGAACAGCAATATGGGCACGACTTATCTTTACTATTGCCTCCCAGCTCCAGGGCGCCCTTCGCCGCTGCCGCCCAAGTGAGGCGAGATACACCAGAGGCCTCCAGGGAGCGCAGTCCCCAACACAGTTTAATCCCAGAGGGGCGCGGCGACGGCACCCAAAAGTGCGTGGCTCCCTGCGCGTCCACAGTGAGCCGCCATGTACAGTCCACCGTGCGACATTCCGAGTGCCCTGGGGCAGCATCGATCTCTTCCGTGGGCACGAAGCAGAACAGCAGCGGCGGCACACAGCAGCAGCAAGCAGCGGCAGGCAGCGGGTAGAAGCACACATCAAGCGGAACTGGCCATCAGCAACAACCTGCAGCCACAAGCAGTAGCAGCGGCATCAAGCACTACAGTACGCAACAGCAGCAGCAAGCAGCAGCACGCAGTAGCATGCGCGGAATGTGAGGTCGGGCCCCGCAATCAGATGCCAGTTCATGCAGACTTAGTGGACGGAGTCCGCGGGTCAGCCCTACCGACGTCGCCAGCCTCATTCTGGTACCCACAACCCACGACGACGACCACCACCACCACGACAACGACGCCGAGTGCGACGGGTACGACGGCGGCCTCGCGGCGGCGACGACAACGACGACGCCGACGATGGCGGCGACGACGGCGTCCCCGCGACGGCCAAGCTGTTGGAGCGCTGCGAGAGCTCGGACACGAGGGCGCGGTCTCGCTGCCGCCGCCCTGGCCGCCGCCGTGCTTATAGGTTTTCGGCAAAATCTCCGCCGTTCCTCCAAGAACCATTCCAGAAAGATGTCGTGGACGGAGTCCACGGGTCAGCCCTAGTCAGCTACAGCGCTGGGATCAGCGCGTGCGAGAAGGGCGAGCAGTGGCAGCGGGCCTTGGCGCTTCTCAGCGAGATGTGGGAGGCGAAGCTCAAGCCCAATGTCATCACCTACGGCGCGGGGATCAGCGCGTGCGGTAAGGGCGAGCAATGGCAGCGTGCTCTGGCGCTGCTAGGAGAGATGCAGGAGGCAAAGCTGGAACCTAATATCGTTACCTGCAGCGCGGGGATCAGCGCGTGCGGTAAGGGCGAGCAGTGGCAGCGGGCTCTAGCGCTGCTCAGCGACATGTGGGAGGCGAAGCTGGAGCCTTACCTTACCAGCTACAATGCTGGGATCAGCGCGTGCGAGAAGGGCGAGCAGTGGCAGCGGGCCTTGGCGTTGCTCAGGGAGATGCGGGAGGTGGAACTGGAGCCCGACCTCACCAGCTACAATGCTGGGATCAGCGCGTGCGAGAAGGGCGAGCAATGGCAGCGTGCTCTGGCGCTGCTAGGCGAGATGCGGGAGGCGAAGCTGGAACCCACTGTCGTCACCTGCAGCGCGGGAATCAGCGCGTGCGAGAAGGGCGCGCAGTGGCAGCGGGCTCTGGCCCTGCTCGGCGAGATGTGGGATGCGAAGCTGGAGCCCGACGACATCTCGTACTGCGCAGCTATCAGCGCGTGCGAGAAAGCCGAGCGGTGGAGCGAGGCCCTGGGGCTTTTCCACGAGATGTCGGAGCGGGGGCTTTCGCCGGACGCGATAGCGTGCAGCGCGGTGCTCCTGGCCCTGGAGAGGGGCGAGGCGGGCATCCGCATGAGGCGGCTGCTCCGGGTCCCCCCGCCAGGCGCAGACCCCGCCCGCACCGGAGGCGCCCCGGCGAGCTCCCCCTCGCGGGGCCCTCGAGGCGCTGGCGGGCTGCACCTCTGCATCTTCCAGGGCGGCGCGCAGGGCGTCGGCGGCTGGGCCCTGAGCGGCGGCAGCAAGCAGAACCGCTGGGATGTGGTGCTGGACGGGCTGCTCCAGTGCGTCATGATGGACGGCGAGTGGCCCCAGGAGGTGCGCGCCTCCGCCTTCGTGGGCCCCGACTGCGTCCACCTCAGCGGCCGCGTGCAGGAGTGGGCCATGCCCGCGGTCGGCCGCCGCCACAGCGGGGCCGCCGCCTTCCAGCCCGTCACGCTCCAATCCTGGGAGGACGCGCTCTGGTGGTCGCGGGGAAGGTCGGGCGGGGCCAGGGCGAGGTCAAGTCCGTTACAGAGCGTTCTGGAACGCTCTCAGAGCGCTCCGGCACGCTCGGAGAAGGCCGCGGCGCCCGAGAGATCCTCCAGAGCCGCCGGGTCTCAGATATGCTCGCTGTATCCTCCTCCGAGGTTACCCTCGTCCTGGCTTCGTCTTGTAAGGGCGGGCCTTCCCGGCCTCGAGTGGAGCCTGGCCCAGGCGGCGCCAGGGTCGCTGGAGGCGTCGCGCGGGCAGCAGCTCGAACGCTTGAGAGCGGAGCTGGCGCGCATGCCGGAGGCCGCGGCGGTGCTCGCCTTCACGCCGGCGCGGCCAGACGTGACCTACGACCAGCTCAGGGAGCTGGGCTCAGGTCGGGGCGATCGAACTGGGTACGGAGAGAATGGGCACACAGACCGAGAGCCGGTCCTGTTCATTTTGAACAGGAATCGCTGCCGGTGTCGCCGCGGAATTTGTCCATTTGAGACTGACGGCTGCCTGCCCAAAAGCTGACGCTGTCAGTTTTGGACAAGATTTGTTTTTGGGCATCGTTCAGATTTTGTCCGTCCCCATTTCGGGCGTCCAAATCAGGGCGTAGCCCGCGCCCTGGCCACGTGTACGTGCTGATGGGAGGCGCGCACGGCTTCGACGACGACGACGACCGCGACGGTGCCTTCGCGGCCAAGGTTCTGGAGGCCTTCTCGGCGCGCTTCGGCGACGGCCGCGTCGTCCGCGTCAGTCTCGGGGCAGGGGAGACCTCCAGAGATGGGCCAGAACCCAAGTTCACGCTAGCGAGCGTGGCAAGCTTTGTGAGCGCTGAGCACACGCGCGGAGCATTGCGGCAGGCAGTTGCGGGCGTTGAGGTGCACTGCCAGAACACACGAGCACACGAGGCTGCGTCGCCCAGCATGCTCACGTAATCATCCGACTCGCTGCTAGCACAGGTCAGTGTCTCGCATCTGCGAATCAAGGGGGATGCATTCGATTATTGGTTGGAGGAATATTACGGTGGAGAGAGTTATTTGCGCCCTGGTTATCGGATCAGGACTTCAATCGGGTCGTACGCGCACCTATTGGTGATGCCATTTTTTGTGATGTTCTCTATGGGCGTGCTTGCATAGCAGGTGATGTTCTTGTGGAGGGAGTCGCCCGAGTGCGGCATCTGAAACGATTGACAGGTCTCGATCATTTCGGAGAGTGGCAGAACATAGTGTGAATGAAGCAGGTTGATAGTGTATCAAAACATCATGGTATTGGTAGTTTGAATGTGTCAACTTGTGTTGACAAATGCTACTCGCAGGCGTTGCTGTCACTGCTCGCGAGACTGCGGCTCGCACTGCGCGCTGTCGCACCCGGGCTGTGGTGGCGTGCAGCCCTCACGAAGATGGAATCACAAGATCGCGCACTCCAATGGTGCTCTTGCTGATGTCCAGCTGCTAGTTCGGCAGTGGCGCGCCGCGCGATCCAAGACCTGGGAGTACATATCTGAAGGACGACTACATCAACATGCGAGCGGGTTTCGGCGCTTCTGGCAGCTCCCTCGCGGAGCCCTGCCCCAGCTTCCGTTCTGTTCCGACGCACCGCGTGATCGACACCGCGCAGTGCAATAGTATGTTGTCTATTGGCGTTTGTGTTTGCGTCCTTGTCGTCGTGACACTGTGCGTGGTCATCCAGACGATCTTCTTCCAGATGAAACAGCTGCACACGTTAAGAGGAGGATGAGGAGATCTCTCTCTCTCTCTCTCTCTCCTTTTCCCCTCCTCCCCAGCTCTTCGCTCTCCTGTTTTCGCTTCGCTCGAGTGCCTTCCAGTGGAGATCTGCTCAGACTGCTTTCCCGACCCGCTCCCATGCGCCAGCTTGGCTGGGCAGCCAAGCCGAGTCCAGCAGTATCGGCGAAAGGTGCCCCCGATGACCGCAGACAGGAGGAGGAGGAGGAGGAGGAGGAGGAGGAGGAGAAGGAGGAGGAGGAGGAGGAGCAGGAGGAGCAGGAGCAGGAGGAGCAGGAGCAGGAGGAGGAGGAGGAGGAGAAGGAGGACCATGAGGAGAGGGGGACTCCTCCTTGGCTGCGTGTGCTCCTCCTCTTCTTCCTCCCCCTTCTCATAGACGGCGACAAGCCTTGGATCATCCCATTCACGCGCGCCGTCGAAGCAGCCTGCCTGCCCCCGCCGCCCTCCTCCGCTGGAGCGCGGCCAGGAGGTCGTTCCCAAGATGGCGCTCGGCATGCGCGGCCTCCGGAAGATGGACCCGACGTACGCCAGACGGGCCGTCACCTCTTCCTCCGCCTCCTCCGCCTCCTCCTCCTCCTCCTCCTCCTCCTCGTCGCTCATCTCCTCCTCCTTCATCGATCGTCCATCTTCGAAGCAGGTGCTTGCCAGCGTGGCCCCCACACAGCGGGCTCTTGCACTCTCGATTCTCGATGGCGCTTTCTACATGGGGCAGTCCATGTGGTGCACGAGACGTGGTGCATCCCTTGCCGCGCAGTCGATATGGTGAAATCTCTGGGATGCACAAATCCTGCGGTGTAATCTGTGCGATGCAAGCTATGCGGAGCGATCCAGGTGATGTTATCCTTGGTGCGGCGACGTGGTGCAGTGAGTTTTTCCTTCAAACATACGGCAGTCGGCATTTCCAACGTTCGAGCAAGCATCTCATCTATCCGCCAGCAAGTTGTTTCCAATATCAACCCTTTTGCACTGGCGACAGGACCCTTGCCATGCAGATCCATGGCTTGGGCGGGCGAGCGGTGATGGTGACGACGACATCGCAGACGGCGACGATGATGATGATGGTGGCGCTGAGGACGAGGGTGGTGACGATGGTGGTGATGATGATGACGACGATGGTAATTGTGATGAAGGTGATGGTGGTGATGTCGGTGGCAATGATGACGGCGGCGACAGTGATTATGATGATGGCGTTGGTTGGTCGGTATGAGGAAGTGCGCGCGCAGAAGTCAGGTAGATCTTTTGGTGATCATCAGTGCTGTGTTGTTTTCACTTGATCACCGTGATGTTGAACATTGCGCTTAAAGTATATAATACACGTCAGCGTTTTGATAGGAACTGGATAAGTTGGACAGATTCTGACAGGTGCGTGTGCGTTTAGAAACGAATGTTTACAACACGCACTTGTTAGATCAACGCGTGAGCCCCAGGCTGTATTATTCGATAGGAGTGACGGGGGTGTCGAGCCCAGTTCGCTGCCATGGTACCAGCGTGTATCTATAACGAAAGTCCGCGCGTAATACAAACGAGAGCATCTTGTGACAAGCCAGACCGACAATGAAGATATAATGGGATTGGGATAATAGTCTATCTATTGACAATGAAGATAGAATGTACGGTCAGAAACTTCGGCTGAACGTTTTGCGCCGCTGGTTCTGGCCCACTACGCCTCGGCGCGACAGTCCCCAAACGTCGACGTCCTGAGCCCTTCCCGACCTCCCGCCCCGCGGAGCGGAGCGACACGCTATCCGCTCGCAGGGCACAGCGTGTCGCTGGGGCCACCGCCGCGACGCGCTGAGCACACGTCCCCGACCGCATGCGGTGCACGCTGTGTGGAGCAGCTGACCTCGTGCCGCACACCGGGGCACGTGCTGCGGGTGCCTCCCTGGGAGTGCGCGCCGCCGCGGGCGGCGGCCCCGAGCCGGCGAGAGCACCGGCGCACCGGGCGAGAGCACCGCAGGGAGGAAGACCCGGGCAGTGCCGGTGAGCGCGCGGGGCGGCCACGAGGCGGCCACGGGCAGCCTCCAGGCGAAGAGAGCAGGGAGTGCCAGTCAGCGCACGGAGCGGCCGCCAGGCGGCCAGCGGCGGCCACCAGGCCGAAGCTTGGAGCGGCCAGCCAGCCTGCGAGGAGGCGACGGTGCCGCCACGGGCGGCCACGGGGCGGCAACCCGGAGGTGCCAGCTGATGTCCTCCAGGCTCGGCCATGACCTCTTGGTGCCAGGACCTCTCGAAGCAGCAATGCGACATCTGGCGGTTCTCTTCAGCTTCCCCTCTTCGATCCTCTCTTCCCTGTCTCTGGGCTTCTCCGCCGCCATGAAGGGAGGTGCCACTACGGAAAACGGGTCTCAGACCCCAGTGCCCAGGGTTTTCCCCAGGACCAGTTCTTCATCCTGAGTCATTTTGGACGGTCCTGGAGCCCTCGGAAGGCGAAGCGAACCCAGGGCCCTTTTCAGTACCTGCTTCCTTCGTGCTAACGCTTCGATTCTCCAGGCCTTCATCGACCAGCTCCTGGACGGCTTCCTGCTGAACCGGCTGGGCTGCAACGTGCTCATGTCGCAGTATTTGGCCCTCCACGGTCTAGAGCCGCTGCCCATTCAGAAAGGCGCTTCGTCGCGACGAGGCTCTCGGTCGTCGTCGTCGTCGTCGTCGTCGTCGTCGTCGTCGTCGTCGTCGTCGTCGTCGTCGTCGTCGTCGTCGTCGTAGTCGTAGTCGTCTTCGTCGTCGTCGTCGTCGCCGTCGAGCATCGAGGGGGTCGACCAGGATCGAGGATCGAGGCTGTGGGATGTGCTTGGCCCCTCTTGGGCCTCCTTGGGCGCTCTCGTCGCCAGGGCTGGATCCACCTCGAGATCCGGGTGAGATCAGATCGCGCCCCAGGGCCCAGGGCAGGCCTGAGGGGGGTCGTCACCATCATTGTCAGAAGAGGAGGAGGGTCACAGAACGAGGAGGAGGTTGGCCTTAGAGGAGGTCTATGAGGAGCAGCAGGAAGCGAAAGCGAAGGCGGAGGCGGAGGAAGGCAATGGAGTGTGGTGGAACGCTTCGGGATGTGGTGGAATGGACTGCCATGGAAGGGAATGGAACCCGAGGCGGACGGGTGCCTGACTGGCCGCCGCGGCGGCAGCTGCTCGGCCACGGCCTCGCGGCTCAGAGCTCCGAGGTGCCCGTGCTCGGTGCCAGTTATGCCCTCGAGCACCGCGTCGGGGAGGGCGGCGGCCCGACCACGAAGCTGGCAAGGCCTCCTCGCCGCCCTTTCCCCCCCGCAGCCCGGGGCTCCACCTCCGCCGAGTGCTCGACCTCGACGGCGTCGCCGACCTCGCCGAGCACCTCCAGGTGCCTGCCCTGCCACACGAGGCCCAGCGCGTCGAGCACGCCCTCGGGGCCTCGTCTGCCCTGGCCAGCCAGGGCCCACAGCCTGCCCTCCTCGACCCTGCCGTGCGCCCTTCTGGAGTGCACCAGATTGCACCTGCGCAGAAGACGTCCTCGCCCCAGGGCTCCAGGAGGGCCGCGAGCGACGGGTGGGACTTGATGAGCCCCATCTCCGCGGCCTCCCCGAAGACCTCGTCCCGGAGGGGGCGCCGTGCTGCTGCATGAATTGCGCGGCCCTGGCTGACGGGCGCAGCCGACGCAGCTTCTTCGGCAAGGTCCTCCTGCACCTCCGCGGTCGGCACGCGAGGCCTCGCCGGCGGCGCCTCCTCGGACTGCTCCTGCTTCTCCGACGCCTCCTGCGACGCATCGTCAGGAGAGCCCACGACGCAGACGCTCTCACCCCAGGACGTGCAAGGCGGAGTCGCAGCCGGTGCCTGCCCGCCCGCCAACGTCTTGGAGAGCGCCATCTCTTGCAGCGTGGCTTCCACAGGGGACGTCCCCTTTGGCCCGAAGAAGAAGAAGAGGAATAATAACCATAATCAAACATTAATGCGAATAATCACAAATCGTGGTAATAATGATAATAATACTAATCATAAGATGACTATGCAGACGAAGAAGCATTTGAACAGTACTAATAATAACTCCCCAATCAGTGCTTGCACTGAAGGGGTCCTAGCGGAAGTGAAAGATTTGGCGAAAGTTTCCCGCCGATTTTGGTAGCATGCTGGGCTCCTGGGTTCCCGGTTCCGGGTTCCGGGTTCCCGGTTATTGGTTCCGGGCCGATTTCGGTGGGATTTGGATGCTTGGGCTCCGGGGTTCCCGGTCGATCTCTTCAGCGAAAACCTCCACTGATTGGGTTTTTTCTCTGGTGTCATTATATGAATCATGCTAGAATACGAATGATATTATCACCGAGTAGATCTCCTCCGCCACTCCCGCCGTGCCGAAGATCTCCGCCAACGCCCGAGGAGCCACTCCATCGCCACACCGCTTGTTGTGCCACGCCTGCGCGCGGGCCTCCACGAGGTCCTCGGCGAGTGCCTCGGCGACCGCGTCGGAGTACTCGCCCTTCTCGCACACGTTCGCGAACTCCTGCATCTCGAGCCGCTCGGTGCTGTCCGCGTCCTTGAAACGGGCCTCGCCGCGCTTCGCGCCCGCGCTGGCAAACCCCTGCGCTGCGATCTCGTTCCGCTCGGAGAGAGGGTCCTGCGGATCCCCACTGGCGACTTCCCCAGCGGCAGCGCGTCTGGCGGCCTCCCGGCGCGTGCCTGCTCACGCGGAGGCGCCCGCTGCGCGGACGCAGTGCTGCGCGGACGCAGTCGTCCACGCAGCGAGTCGTCGGAACCGCCGTTGACGACACCGTGCAGGACCACGAACCGCCCGCTCCCTCGTCGTTGGCCTCCCCTCGCGCTGCGACCGCGCCCCAGGGCCGGGTCGGTAGCCGAGGTTCTGCCGAGGGTGGCCTTCACGGGCGGACCCACAGCTCAAAGAACAAAAAACGCCGCAGACATGAACTTTTGGCGCTCCGCTCGGATCTCTTGGATCCTAACAAAAACAGGCGTAGATATTATTCTTGCGACATCCAGGTCTGCGCGGTCGTGGCACTTCCTCCTCCTCCTCTTCCTCTTCCTCCTCCTCCTCCTCCTCGGCGCTCCCCCCTTTTGCCGCCGCCTTTCCCCTCGTCGACCGCCCCCCTCGGCCTCGCCGCCCCCTCGCCCTCCGCCCCCCCGTGCTGCGGCCAGGTGGCGGCGTTCGTCTAGCACGGAACAGACGCATGACTGATGTAACCCCATCTTGTTTCATTTCTTTCACTTCATCATGGTGTTTCTTCTCATGCTCCTCGTTACCCCCACGTCCTCCTCCTCCTCCTTCTCCTCCTCCTCCATCTCCCGCCTTGTCGACAACCTCCTCATCACCATCCCTCCTCCTTGTCCGCCGCATCTCCATCATTGTCCCCATCATCTCCATCATCCTCAGCAGCAGCATCCGCAGCCGCAGCAGGACCAACGTTATCATACTATTCTTTATTCGGAATCATTAGCCCTAACATCATCGGTCCCCCTCATTTTCTAATTTTCTGTTTCCCCACCATCCCGACACACCGCCCTCCTCTGTAGCACTAGTTGCAGGAGGATGAGGAGCATGAGCAGCAACGCGGGAGGCTGAAACAGGCGTAGATCTTCTTGCGACATCCAAGTCTGCGCGGTCGTACTTCCTCCACATACGCCCCTTTTACCGCCGCCTCCCCCCTCGTCGACCGCCCCACTTGGCCTCGCCCTCACCCCCCTCCCGCATCCTCCCATGCTGTGGCCAGGTGGCGGCTTCCGTCTTCCAGCGCGGACCAGACGCATGATTGATGTAACCCCCATCTTCCTCCATGTCCTCCACTTCATCATGTTTTACCGTCTCATCCTCCCCGTTAGTCCGTTTCAGACCATTTCTACGATGTCCCTTCTTCCTCCCCTTCTCCTCCTTTTCCTCCTCCTCCTCCTCCTCCAAGGCACGGTGCGCTCCTCCTCCTTCTCCCCCTCCTCCTCCATCTCCCGTCTTGTCGACAATCTCCTCCTCCCCCTCCCCCTCCCCTTCATCATCATCATCATCATCATCATCATCATCATCATCATCATCATCATCATCATCATCATCATCATCATCATCATCATCGTCATCGTCATCGTCATCGTCATCGTCATCGTCATCGTCATCGTCATCGTCATCGTCATCATCGTCATCATCGTCATCATTTCTCTTTATCGTCTTCTTCTTCATCCTCCCCCCCGTCATCACCAGCATCAGCATTAGCAGCAACAGCCGCAGCAGCACCTTCATCAACATTTCACCATCTTCGGAATCGGCGTCATCCCTGACATCATCGGTCCCCTATCATCTTCACCCCCCCATCATCGCAACAAGTCGTCCTCCTTTGCGGCGCTGGCAGCAGGATGATCACTATCATGAACACTAGGCCCTGGGAGATCCCCCGGGGCCTGGAGGTCATTGGAGGCCCATGGGGCGCCAACAGCAACCCCCAAACCAGCCGGAAACGCCCAAACAACTCCGTCCGCGTTTCCCGAGTGTCAGGGGTACACCTGGAAAGGGAATTGTAGAAGGTCGCAAGGTGGTCTCCACCCAGGATGCAGAGGTACCCTCGCTTCGGACGTCCCACGTTTTTTGTGACGCGCCCCCCCTGGTTTCTCGACCGCTTCTCCGGGGCAGTTGGTTCATGGACCATTTACATTGACAGTCATGGGTGCGGGCAACGGTTTCCAGGACCCTAGTGCGACACCTATGTCTGCACGGTAGTGCCACCTCCTCTGCCTCCTCCTCGGCGGCCTTCCCCCCCTTTTTGCCGCAGCCTTCCCCCTCGTCGGCCGCCGCCGTCGGCCTCGTCTCCCCTCGTCCCCCGCCACCGTCGTGCTGCGGCCAGGTGGCGGCGTTCGTCATCCAGCACAAAACAAACGCATGGCTGATGTTATCCCCATCCTCTTTCACTCCCTCTTCCTCATGTTTCTCCTTCTCATCCTCCCCGCTCGTACATCTCAACTACTTCCTACCGTACCCCCACTTCCTCCTCGTCTTCCACCATCCCCGCCTTATCGACAACCTCCTCATCATTCCTCCTCAGAGTCTTCCTCGCCATCGTCCTACCCACCATCACCATCGCCATCACCACCAGCAGCCGCCGCAGTACCATCACCACCACCATCAACATCATCATCATCATCATCATCACCATCATCCTCATCATCATCATCATCATTATCATCATCATCAGCATCACCCTCATCATCATCATCATCATCATCATCATCATCGTCATCATCATCATCATCATCATCGTCGTCATCGTCATCGTCATCACCATCATCACCATCGTCATCACCATCGTCATCACCATCACCATCATCACCATCATCACCATCATCATCGTGCACTGGAATCATCAACAACATCCCAAACATCATCGGCCCCCTCATATTTTATCGAAGACGCCCACGGCGAATCACCGCCGCCCCCTGCCTTTTTGGAAGCGCCTATGTGGCCGAACGTTGAGGGACCTGCCAAGCTATCGGACCATGTCTTCCCCGAATCGGTTTGGAAAGCCTTCGGGGAACACGTGGGCATCTTGAAGGTCATCTTGGCCGCCTGGAGGCCGTTTTGACCCTTGTGGGCCTTCTTGGGGGACGTTTTGGAGGGCTCTGGGGCTGTCTTCGATGCCATTTTGAGCGTCTTGGATGCCTCTTTGGCCGTCCT